ACACACACACACACACACACACACACACACACACACACACACACACACACACACACACACATATTGTCGAAATACTAACTAACCTGCTGTGTAATTGACAAGATGTGGTTCATGGCCATGTGACTGCCATGTGGACAGAAAATGTTGAGATCGAGGTAACGCCGGAACGACACTCTACACTGGAAGAAGTGCCAAGACAGCGAGCGAAAAAAATAAGCGTTTTCAGGAATTGTGGAGAAGCCGATTTAGACTGACACTTTAACCTCAGTCCATCAGCCGTGCCATCTGTTGTATGACAGAGAATGTGGGGTGTTCAGATGAGCGAATCTTACAAAATGAACGAGAGGGTAGATGGCAAGGGTTGTATCATGGGCTCAAAAGCGACGGAGAGTTCAGAAACAACAAGGAATGACGAACAGTCATGTGGACCAAGTGTCAACGAGCCGTTGCTCCCGTTGAGCAGTGAGAGATCAGTGAAGCGATGGAAGAGGATACTGGAGGACCCGTGGTATGCGGAAATGTACCAGATGATGACCACAGATGACTTCCAATATCCTCAGATGGCGCATGAACCTTTGTTCAGTATTGCAGGGGGCAATCGGTCAAGAGGTATGGTTGTAGAGGCTGGAAAGAGGTCCGAGAGGGTGGACAAGGAACACTTGTTCCCGTTCACGTGGACATCAAGAAGACACGTCATAGCGATAACGAAACGGGACGTATTGCGATTGGGTGCAAAGCAGTGGCTGAACGACAACGTGATCGATTTGTACTTACAGTTCGTCTATGAAGAACATTTCCCTGCACAGGACAACACGACATTTCATGTTTGCACAACTTTTTGGCATCCCGCAGTGATCGCCAATCAGAAGGTTTATGTTTCGAAAGCAGGATGGCAGGAGCGGATCAAAAGTAGACCTGCAAAGCTGCATCGATTAAGCAATGAACTGCGAACGACAACTGTTGTTCTCATCCCTGTGAATCACAAAAATCATTGGAAATTGCTCTTGCTACTGAATGTCGGTCGGTTTTTGGCAGTCACGGAGGACAATGATGGCCAATCGTCATGGATTCCTTTCAACAGAGCGGCCGACAGGAATGAAAGGCATTGCGCACATTTTTGTGGTATGAATACCTCAACGAGGCAGACAAAGCAGGGGTGTTAACTACCGAGACCGTGGACACGTCGTGGGTGACATGCAGAGATCTACTTGGATCTAACATAGTATATGCGGAATGTTCGCAACAGACCAATACGTCAGACTGTGGTGTTTCCGTTTGTTGCTTGGCAGCACAATTGATGCGAAAGCTAGCAAACGTGGCCAACGGAATGAACATAACCGCAAAATATATGACAGAAGTTGTTAGCGCGATGTTGGTCAACGAACGAACGGTCGAGAGATTTCGTCACTCGATGGTACAACGCTTTGCGCAGTGCGCTGCAATGGCAAAAAGATATAACACCGGAGTAGCGTGTGACATAGAAAATGTCTTCAGAGATCTCATAGACGGAACACGGAGTGGAAGTTCGTAATTACAAGGGCATGATAGAAACCTGACATTTTAAGAAGCCAATCGGCACGCGGTAGCCAACTTGTGCATGTTACTTGATGGCTGAATGCGTGATGTATCATAGAAAAAAATTGTCGTCTTTCATGTCACAACAGCAAAAAACGTTCGTCTCTCTCTCTCTCTCTCTCTCTCTCTCTCTCTCTCTCTCTCTCTCTCTCTCTCTCTCTCTC